GTAGCTGGGACTACAGGCATGCGCCACCATGCCCGGCTAATTTTTTATATATATATCAGTTGGCCAATTAATTTCTTTGTATTTATAGTAGAGACGGGGTCTCACTCTTGCTCAGGCTGGTTTTGAACTCCTGACCTTGAGCAATCCGCCTGCCTTGGCCTCCCAAGAGCTAGGATTACAGGCGTGAGCCACAGCGCCCGGCCCATAATGGCACTTTCTTATAGGGTGGTTGCTGTAAATGAATACATGCAAAGCAATTTGAACAGTGGCTGATCCATGGTAACTGCCCAATAAATGTCATTGTTTACATATTGTGATATTATATATTAACTGGGAGAAGCAAACGTATTGTGAAATTAACAAATTTGTACAGGAGACTAGTATTTTCAAATGTCAAGCTCATTTAGGATAAATTACAGAGAAACAGGCCAGGCTTGGTGGCTCATGCCTGTAAATCCCAGCACTATGGGAGGCCAAGGCAGAAGGATCATTTGAAGCCAGGAGTTCCAGATCAGCCTGAGCAATACAAGGAGACCCTGCCTTTACAAAAAATTTTAGCCAGGCAGGGTGGCACATGTCTGTAGTCCCAGCTACTCAGGAGGCTGAGGCGGGAAGATCGCCTGAGCCCAGGAATTTGAAGTTGCTGAGGGCTATAATGATGCCACTGCACTCTAGCCTGGGCAACAAAGCAAGATCCTGTCTCAAAAAAACAAAAAATAATTTTCAGCCTTCCCTTGCTTGACCTCTCATTAGCATGACCTCTGACTCCTTCCTGGCTTGCATTTACTTCCCTTGGCTTCCATTACACAACATTCTCTTGATGGTTCTACTAGTTCTGGGTGTTTCTTCTATATGCCCAGCCTGTGAGCCTGCTCCAGATCCTCCAACACTTGCCCTTCATATTTTCTCTGGATCACCTCATCTACTTTCATAACCTCTACTGCCATCAATACCTGGATGACTCCCAAATCTTCACTACCTCAGAGCTTGACTTATGTGTTCAATTGCCAATTTGACATCTCTAACTGGATATCCCACAAGTACCTCTAACTCGACTGACCATATCTTCTCTACCTGTCCCCAAATTCTCTTCCACAACTAGATTATAGTCTAGTATTCCCATCCCCTCATTAGGAAACAATCTACATAGATACTTAGACCAAAAACTTGAAAATATTTCCCTCTTGCCCACGGTCCTCATCCCCACACTCATATATTTTACTGATAAACATGACTTATTGCTTCGATTTCCTAAATGCCTCCAAATTCCTCAGTTGTCTCTATACTCCCTCCCACCTCCGTTAGCCTACCCACCAACACCTGTGGATGTCCCAATGACCCACTCACTGAGCTACCAGAACCCATACCTGATGTCCCATCACCCCTTCTTCATACTGCAGCTACAGTGATCTTTTCAAAACAAAAATCTGTTTTCATCACTGTCTTGCTTAAAGTAAAAACTTTAATTCTTCCAATCATTCACAGAATAAGTCCAAAATCCTTACCAAAGTGTGTGTGAACTGGCTTCTGTACACCTCTCTGGCTTTTCCACATCTTATCCTTTCTTCACTCTCTGAACTATAGTCATATTGTTCTTATTCTAGCTCCCTGGACACACTGAAGTCTAAATTACCTCAGGGCCTTTACACATGCTATTCCTTCATAAAATACTCCTGCATCACGAAATCAGTTAATTGCTATTTATTCTTCAAGTCACAGTATCCTAAAAGAAGCCTTTCAGAAGCCCAGACAATGTCAGCTTTATCTGATACATGAATTCAATAGCTTAAGAAGAAATTGTCAAGTAATCAAAAGATAAAGCTACATCAGGTACTGGGAAGAAGAGAAAGATGGCCTCCCTCCTAAGCCTTTCTCCTATTCACAGTGTTTTCTGATCACTTTTATTTCCTGCACTCATGAACTCTCCTGTTCTCCATCTTTCCCCTTCTTCACTGTTCCTATGACAAGTTCCTATCACTATTTACCACTTTTCCTAAAAGTTGCTGGTGATCATGTACACCCATTTCAGTGTCATTAACTGAAGCCAAAAGCCATTATAAATGTGATATTTCAGAACTTTTCTTAACAAGCTTTCTACTCCACTACCTGAACTGTGGTTCCTGAGATATTCTTACTTATATTGAGCTATATATATTTTTTTTTTTTTTTTGAGACAGAGTCTCGCTTTGTTGCCCAGGCTAGAGTGAGTGCCATGGCGTCAGCCTAGCTCACAGCAACCTCAAACTCCTGGCTCAAGCAATCCTCCTGCCTCAGCCTCCCAAGTAGCTGGGACTACAGGCATTCGCCACCATGCCCGGCTAATTTTTTTGTATATATATTAGTTGGCCAATTAATTTCTTTCTATTTATAGTAGAGACGGGGTCTCACTCTTGCTCAGGCTGGTTTCGAACTCCTGACCTCGAGCAATCCGCCCGCCTCGGCCTCCCAGAGAGCTAGGATTACAGGCGTGAGCCACCACGTCCGGCCCTGTATTTTTGATTATTGGTGGATATTTATTTGCTCTATGGATATTCAACCCCAATTACTAGGAAAAGGCTGGTCCTACAGCAAACGCAGATAGCTTTCAACTCTCTGGCTATCATTTCATTACTGGTCATGGGACCACTGGTCTTAGGCAGGTTAGTGCAGTAAGTTAAAGTACAGAACTCAGATTTAACCTACATATGGACCAAAGGGCACTGCACTATTCCATAGCTCCATATACTGTCCCTAAGTTGGTGAGGCAACTAAAAAACACAAGCCATCATTAATAAGACCAGACAGATGAGTAGGAATATGTAAGTCCATTATCAATTCTGAAAAAATAAACTGAAACAATTATCCTACTGATGAGTAAATTCTTATCTTAATGTGGGCCTTTTCCTTTCCCAATCAATTTCACTGGTATTCAAAGAGAGAGAGAGAGAGAGAGAGAAAGAGAAGGCTATGAGGCATTTCTCACCCCTTACTTTCGAAGCATTTAGTTCAGAAGCCTTACTGACATACAAACTTCTTGCATAAAAATATACCTTTCCCTGGATGCTTCATCTGGGATACCTAGGCATATTTCTCGGTCAAACCTTCCTGCACGTCTCAAAGCAGGGTCTAACGAGTCCGGTCGATTAGTAGCTCCAATAACCAGGACCTGAGCTGTAGCAGCCACGTTATTCAGATCTAGTGAGGACCAGACACAGAATGAGTGATGAACAGGGCACTTGACATTGAGGGCAATAATGTTTATACAAATAATTTAATGATTAGAGAGGAAGTATTACACATTTTAAGTGAAACATATATATGTATAAACTAATCCTTATTAATTGTCAAATATGTTTTTTTCCCCTCTACCCTCTCGGATCATAAATGTCAAATATGTTAAAAGGTATGAGGAAGAGAAATAAAAGACAAACTTTGCTAAAAGCAATTCACAATCTACTTAGAAACATTAGTGTATAAATAAGAAAAAGGGCACAAGACAAATTCTGTAAAATATCATAATAGATAGGAACAAAGTACAATGGTAATACAAGGGAAGATATAATGAATTCCAGCTGAGAATAAATGCGGGTTCATGGAGATGGTAATATTTGAAAAAAAAAATTGAAGGGTAAATATAATTTTAATAATCAGAGATGTAGGTCAATGAAATGCTACACGGTAGAAACAGTATGAGTAGGCCGGGCGCGGTGGCTCACCCCTGTAATCCTAGCACTCTGGGAGGCTGAGGCGGGCGGACTGCTCAAGGTCAGGAGTTTGAAACCAGCCTGAGCAAGAGCAAGACCCCGTCTCTGCTATAAATAGAAAGAAATTAATTGGCCAACTAATATATATAGAAAAAGTTAGCCGGGCATGGTGGCGCATGCCTATAATCCCAGCTACTCGGGAGGCTGAGGCAGCAGGATTGCTTGAGCCCAGGAGTTTAAGGTTGCTGTGAACTAGGGCTGACGCCATAGCACTCACTCTAGCTTGAGCAACAAAGTGAGACTCTGTCTCAAAAAAAAAAAATAGAAACTGCCATAGCTACCCCAATATTCAGTAATCACCTCCCTGATCACTCAGCAGCCATCAACACTGAGGCAACATCCTCCACCAGTAAAAAGATGATGACTGGTTGAAAGCTAAGATGATCATTAGCATTTTTTGGCAAAAAAGTATTTTTTTAATTAAGGACTTCAGACATAATGCCATTGCACATTGAATAGACTACAGTATAGTATAAACATAACTTTTATTTTTTATTTATTTTTATTTTTTTGGCTTAGAACAACGTAAATTTATTCTCTTATAGTTTTGGAGGTCTGAAGTCTAAAATCAAGATAAGACTTTCTTTGAGAATCTGGAAAACTTATGACCCCATCTTCATATCACTCCAACCTTTTGCCTCCATTATCACATCTCCAATTCCACTATTACTTACTCTGATGATCCTCCTGCCTCTGTCTTCTAAGGGCCCTTGTACATTGGGCCCACCTGTATAATTTAGGATCATCTCCTCACCTCAAAATCCTAATCACATTTGAAAAGTCCCTTTATCATATAAGGTAACAGGTTTCAATGATTAGGGCATGGATGTCCTGGGGGGTGCATTTATTCCACTTGCTACAGGAAGTAAGTAAAATTTTTAAAATACAAAATAAATGTCAGGTACTGATTAATGCTGTGGATAAAAAATGAACAAGATGAGTGGATATAGAGTAATAGCAATCAGCAAAAATAGTATAATTAGAGACATGAAGAGGGGATATTGAACAGAAGTTTGAATAAAGTAAGGGAAGGAAGCAATAGAGGATTTGGCAGAAGAACATTTCAGTAGAGGGAGTAGCTGGCGGTACAGGGGTTCTAAGTCAGGAACCAGTTTGGCGTATTCATGAATGAACAAGAAGAGCAGACTGAAATAGGCCAATGGAAGGAGAACAGGTCACTTAGGTTGGTAGGAAACAGAAAGAAGGAGTTTTGTAGGTCATGGTAAGTACAATTGTTTATTAATTACTCGCCATGCTCACAACATGCACAATCTATCATTTTGCTGGGATGCAGTTCTGAACTCTTAAACATAATTTTTATATGCACTGAGAAACCAAAAAATTCATGTGATTCACTTTGTGGCAATATCCTCTTTATCACAGTGGTCTGGGACCAAACCCCCCCAAAAAAAAGACGAACATAAATGCATTAAAATGGCAATACTTCCAAAGTATGCCCAGGCTAGACTGAGTGCCGTGGCGTCAGCCTAGCTCACAGCAACCTCAAACTCCTGGGCTCAAGTGATCCTGCTGCCTCAGCCTCCCGAGTAGCTGGGACTACAGGCATGCGCCACCATGCCCGGCTAATTTTTTCTATATATATTGGCCAATTAATTTCTTTCTATTTATAGTAGAGACGGGGTCTCGCTCTTGCTCAGGCTGGTTTCGAACTCCTGACCTCGAGCAATCCTCCCGCCTCACCTCGGCCTCCCAGAGTGCTAGGATTACAGGAGTGAGCCACCGCACCCGGCCGAAGACACACTGTTAAAGTACAAACGGCAAGTTGTAGAATAATGTGTCTGGTACAATCTCAGTATTGTAAAAAGCAATCCAATGTTGGCAAATATGTATATATGTAAATGTATTAAAAATAACTTAAGATATACTCTAAAAAATTAATTATATAATCATTGATGAAGAGAAAAAAACAAGCTAAGACACAGTGGCATGTGCCTGTAGTACCAGCTACTCAGGAGATTAAAGAGGATTGGTTGAGCCCAGGAGTTCAAGGGTATAATGTGTGAAAATCATGTCTAAGAATCACCATTGCACTCCAGCCTGGGCAACAGAGCAAGATCCTGTCTTTAGAAAATAAAAAAGACTTCTTTTTTAAACTATCTAAGATTGACTCTGAATGTTATTTTTTTTTTAAAGGCTGGTCAAATGGAGCAGTGGGAGTGGAGAATGAACAAAGGAATCTGTAACTGGTTGTGATCAATGAGTTGTATATACCAGTGCCCTTGGACCAACCTACTCTGAATATTTTATATTTTCATGTATTAATTACACCTTCAAAAAAATGTATTATCTTAAAAGGAATATATTATTTTAAACTGACCATCCATGCAGGTTAGGAGCTGGGCCACAATTCTTCGTTCCATATCTTTTGAAGCAACTTCTCTTTTGGGGGTTATAGCATCAATTTCATCAATGAAAATAATACACGGTGCATTTGACTAGAAATGAAAATATCAAAAACAGGACCATAAATACATCCTCTACACTGAAGTATAGTTAAGAATACACATTTAAAAAAATCTTAAAGTTCAAGGAACATTCACCAAGAGAATAACCCAAAAGAATAATCTGAACAAATGTAGTATACAGTTTATTACTTTTTAATAAACTGTAGTATACAGTTTATTACTTTTGATTTTTATTTGCCTTAAGAGAACTAAGATGCCTAAAAGAGAACAGTAAGAGACTGCAGCTAGGGTAACAACACATTTATAGTCTTTTCATCAATCCATGTGTTGTGATAAATCTACTGAAATTCTTTTGTAATTAGACATATTTGCTATGATATATAAATAATACATTTACAAATTTTAAATTAGAAAATCCAAGTTTACTAGAAATGTTATGAGTGTTTCTACCAACATAAAACCTCTAAGCTTTTCTCTAGGATTTGCCAATAGAGGAATTTGAGAAGCACCAGAAGCTTTTTAAAAAACTTGTGGTAAAATATACGTACAATTTGCATTTTAAACATTTTTAAGTGTATAGTTCTGTGGCATTAAGTACATTGACACTGTTGTATAACCATCACTACTATCCACCTGCAGAACTTTTTCATCTTCTCATAATGAAACTATCAGAGACTTACTTTAAAGACTACTTTCTTGTTTTTTGTTTTTTTTTGAGACAGAGTCTCACTTTGTTGCCCAGGCTAGAGTCAGTGCCTTGGCATCAACCTAGCTCACAGCAACCTCAAACTCCTGGGCTCAAGCGATCCTCCTGCCTCAGCCTCCCAAGTAGCTGGGACTACAGGCATGTGCCACCATACCCAGCTAATTTTTTCTATATATATTAGTTGGCCAATTAATTTCTTTCTATTTATAGTAGAGACGGTGTCTCACTCTTGCTCAGGCTGGTTTCGAACTCCTGGCTTCGAGCAATCCGCCTGCCTCAGCCTCCCAGAGACCTAGGATTACAGGCGTGAGCTACCGCACCAAGCCTAAAGACTACTTTGAATAAGGAAGGATGATAAAGTTCCAATATACTAGTGTGTTTAATGATCATCTTCAGCCTTTTTTAGAAATAAATTAGATAGGGGCTGGATGCAGTGGCTCACGCCTGTAATCCCGGCACTTTGGGAGGCTGAGGTGGGAGAACTGCATAAAGCCAGGAGTTTGAGACCACTGGGCAACAGTGAGATCCATGTGTACAAAAAAAAAAAATTAGGCAGGCATGGTAGCGCACACCTGTAGCCCCTATTCGAGAGGCTGAGGCAAGGACTGCTCAAGCCCAGGAGTTTGAGATTGCAGCGAGCTATAACATCATTTTGTTCTAGCCCAGGCAAGAGAATGAGATCTTGTCTCAAGATAAATAAATAAACAAACAAATAATTAACAGATAGGGTTCAGACAGAGTAATTTAAAATGTAAGGATCAAGAAGGGGGCAGGTGCCAGGCACTGTACCTCATGCCTATAACCCTAGCACTCTGGGAGGCAGGGGCAGGAGGACAGCTTGAGCTTAGGAGTTCAAGATCAGCCTGAGAATGAGTGAAATCCTGTCTCTACTGAAAACAGAAAAAACTAGCCAGGCATGGTGGCGCATGCCTGCAGTCCCAGCTACTTGGGAGGATGAGGCAGGAGGATCCCTTGAGCCCAGCAGTTTGAAGTTGCTGTGAGCTAGGCTGACGCCACTGCACTCTAGCCTGGGAGACAGAGACTCTGACTCAAAAAAAAAGGAAGGGGGGGTCTGTAGAAGGAGTGATGTGGGGTGAAACTTACCTACTGGGTACCATGAATACTATTCTGGTGGTGGGCACACCAGAAGTGCTGACTTAAGCTTTATACAAGGTATCCATGTAACAAAAACACTTGTACCTGCTTAATTAATATTTTGGAAAGAAGAAAAAAAGACGTAATGATCAACCATCTATAGTAGTCAAATTAACAGAGACAGAAAGTAGAATCGCGGTTGCCAGGGACTAGAGGAAGGGAGGAATGGGGGAGTTACTATCTAACAGGTAGAGTTTTTGTTTGGGAAGATGAAAAAGTTCTGGAGATGGATGGTGGTGATGGTTACATAACAATGTGAATGCACTTAATGCCATAGAACTGTACACTTAAAAATGTTTAAAATGGCAAATGTTATGTATATTTGATCACTCCCCCCATACCCCCCCCCCAAAAAAAGGAGAGAGCTGGGCATGGTGGCTCACGCCTATAATCCTAGTGACTGAGAAGGCTGAGGTGGGAAGATCCTTGAGCCTAAGAGTTTGGGACTAGCCTGGACAACACAGTGAGACCACCTCTTTAAAAAAGAAAACAGGCCGGGCGAGGTGGCTCACACCTGTAATCCTAGCACTCTGGGAAGCCAAGGCGGCGGATTGCTCGAGGTCAGGAATTCGAAACCAGCCTGAGCAAGAGCGAGACCCGGTCTCTACTATAAATAGAAAGAAATTAATTGGCCAACTAAAAATATATAGAAAAAATTGGCCGGGCATGGTGGCGCATGCCTGTAGTCCCAGCTACTTGGGAGGCTGAGGCAGAAGGATTGCTTGAGCTCAGGAGATTGAGGTTGCTGTGAGCTAGGCTGACGCCACGGCACTCAGTCTAGCTTGGGCAACAAAGCGAGACTCTGTCTCAAAAAAAAAAGAAAAAAAATAGCCAGGCATGGTGGTTTGTGCCTGTAGTCCCAGCTATTCAGGAGGCTGAGGCAGGAGAATCACTTAAGCCCTGAAGTTTGATGTTATAGTGAGCTATGATTGTGCCACTGCACTCTAGCCTAGGTTACAGAGTGAGACCCCATGTCTTAAAAGAGAGAGAGAGAGAGACGAATTAAAATGAAAAATTTATATTTGATGGTTATGAGTGACGTAGATTATGCTAAGATTCAGACTGTCAGCATGGCTAAGACATCTCAAAACCATGAGACGTTTTAAAGGACAAGATACTTGGCCCATCACTAGCTGGCTTCTCTTCCCTAATCCTCCTCATGACAATGTTTACAAAAGACTATGACTGCTGGATATATTACCCAGCTACAAAAGAGTAAAGTTACAGAGAGCAAAGGACTCAGAAAGCAAGCACATCAGTATTTGTCAGTGACATGGAAAGCTGAATGGAAAAAAAGGATTAAGAATAAGCGATGAGCTGGGCGTGGTGGCTCACGCCTGTAATCCTAGTACTCTGGGAGACTGAGGTGGGAGGATCGATCAAGGTCAGGAGTTCAAAACCAGCCTGAGCAAGAGGGAGATCCCATCTCTACTATAAATAGAAAGAAATTAATTGGCCAACTAAAAATACATAGAAAAAATTAGCCAGGCATGGTGGTGCATGCCTGTAGTCCCAGCTACTCAGGAGGCTGAGGCAGGAGGATTGCTTGAGCCCAGGAGTTCGAGGTTGCTGTGAGCTAGGCTGACGCCATGGCACTTTAGCCCGGGCAATAGAGTGAGACTCTGTCACACACACACAAAAAAGAATAAGTGATGGTAGTCATATTTAGCCTAAAGAAAGCAAACAATTTTCAATAAGGGGCCGGGCGCTGTGGCTCACGCCTGTAATCCTAGCTCTTGGGAGGCCGAGGCGGGCGGATTGCTCAAGGTCAGGAGTTCAAAACCAGCCTGAGCAAGAGCGAGACCCCGTCTCTACTATAAATAGAAAGAAATTAATTGGCCAACTGATATATATATAAAAAATAGCCGGGCATGGTGGCGCATGCCTGTAGTCCCAGCTACTCGGGAGGCTGAGGCAGAAGGATCACTCAAGCCCAGGAG